AGTCTAGGACCCAGGGGAACAAGAGCGCCAGTAGTTGTTGTTTGCAGCTCTTACAGATGATGACCTTGGAAGGCTGATGATCCTCTGATTTTGGCACAGTAGTAGTAGGCAGAGCAGGTTTTGTAGATTGCCAGGCGTGCAACAGAGCAAGGCAGGTAGTGAGGACAAGAGACAGGAGCAATGTCATGGAACAGCCAGGGTCATCAACAGTCAGGCAGCACGGTACAGAATCAGAAGGAAAAGCCAAGGTCAGGAGCAGAGCCAAAGTCAGGAACCAGTATCAGGAGAGCAATCAGAGTCAGGTGAGGAAAAAGCCGGGTCAGCAAGAAAGGAATCACACAGGAACAAGCAGGACACAGGGGAGCTGAAGACCAGTCAGCACTGAACATGAGCAGAGGCACTCCTTAAATAGGCCGTCTGGCGCCAATCTTCGCTGTGCGTGCGCACATCCGGCAGTTCTGTGGGAATTCCTATGCGCATTTCCAATCGTGATTCGTCTTGCTGAAAATCCCTTTCATTAGGTCTGATGGGAAGAGAGAACCTCTGATGTGATTGGGAAACCTCTAATGTGATGGGGGACCTCTTCTTTGATGTGAAATGGGAAGGAGAACCTCTGATGTGATTGGGAAACATTAATGTGACGGGGGACCTTTGAAATGTGATTAGGACCTTTGATGTGATTAGGTCTGATGGGAAGAGAGAACCTCTGATGTGATTGGGAAACCTCTAATGTGATGGGGGAACCTCTGATGGAAATGGAGAACCTCTGATGTGATGTGGGGGTCCTTTGATGTGATTAGGTCTGATGGGAAGAGCGAATCTCTGATGTGATGGGGGAACCTCTGATATGATGAGGTGTCTGATGGTAAGGAGGAACCTGTGATGGGATGGGGGGGCTTTGATTGGAAGGGAGAACCTTTGAGGTGATGGGGGGGACCTCTGATGGGATAGGAGCAATCAGAGGTGTAGCATGGGTGGGACTATAGGGGCAATTGCTTGGGGATCTAGATTTGTAAAAATATTGAACCCATGGGTTACGGGGAAAATACTTGCTTTGCCCTGGGAGCTGGAAACCTATGCGTCCACCAAGAAGCTGTCATATCTGACAGCCAATCATAGGCAGTTGAGGCATTCCTCATCCTGCAGCATACCCCTTGCATATGTGTGGCTGCAGGCCACCTATGATTCACTGTCAGCTTTGACAGCTTTCAGGTGGGATATCTTGGGTGGGTTTGGATTAATGTCTGAACATGCCTGAGTTCATCCCTACCTAGGAGTGCCCCCCCAGATACTGGCAACCTATGCTACGCCACTGGGAGGAACTCTGAAATAGTGGAAGACCCCTGATGTGAAATGAGGCCTCTAATGTGAAGGGGATTGTAGTGAATATACCACAAGAACAGTGCTCAGTGTGAAGGGTGGACCTCTGATTTGATGGCAAGACCTCTGATATGATGGGGGGACTCTGACGAGATGGGGGACCTGTAATCTGTTTGGGGGACCTCTGATGTGATAATAGGTGACCATACACAGGTAGATTTTTTTAACAAACTTGGCACTACAGTCAATGATGCCAACAGACATTTGACAAATGTCATTCGAGAATACTTTAGAATTTTGTTTGTTTTTACTGGATTTTAGCATGAATGGAATTCCCCAAACATAAACCCCATTCAGTCCCTGGTTCACACTGATGCGGTCCGGAATTCGCAGCGTTTTCAGTGCGAATTCCGCACCGCATCACAATCGCACCCTGTTCATGTGAACCACTGCCGGTGTGTATGTTAACAACACCCTGAAAGCGGTCCGCAAAACGCAGTGCGATGTACAGAATCGGATCACTATAGATGTGAATACCCATGCCATCCAATTCTAGTGCGGACCCAAAAAAGGGTCCTGCACCTTTTTGGTGGGGGTGTGGTGCGAATACAGCCATACAAAATGTACGGCTCCAATCGCACCGCACACAAATCGCATGTGATATACCACACCACATATATGTGAACCCGGGCTAAATGGTAGAATTTTGTTTGTTCAAGAAAAAAAATTATTTTTGCTCCTTTGATTTTTCTCATCACTAAGATCCCAATAACCATTAGAAATTCAAATGAACAAAACTTTTCAAATTAAATATTAAGAGTTTGACTGGATAGTCAGTTGACAGTAATGAACAACAATAGATCACTTTTCAAAGGGTTGGCACAGTAGTGGCTGCCAGGTGTTTAGGGGGCGCTACTGCCACTTCTCGTCACCTGTTTTTTTTTTTTTTTTTTTAAAAGTAAACGAGTGTCCTGTAAAACGCTTTCAAATGAATTTTATAAAACAAATGTGATAATGTGATCAGGGGCGGACTAACCATTTGGAAACTTGGGCACTGCCCGAGGGACCGGGGTTAGTAGGGGGCCCCATGAGATGCCCCTGGTACCTTTTTTCCATAGGCTTTTTTGAGTTTGGGCAAGGACACAGGGGCCCCATGATCCCCTATTGCCCGGGGGCCCCATGAGTTGTCAGTCCGCCCCTGAATGTGATCAACATCTATTATATCAGGCTATTTGCAACTTAACCTCCCTAGCAGTCTGATTATGTCCATATTTTCCTGCTCAAAGCGGTACATTATTTTGCATGGAAATATGTAGTTTTTTTATTGTAGGTCTGTAATTTTTAGGAATAAGTCACTGAAATCTGTCTGAACAAGAGTCTAGTACACATCCCGGGTAGGATAAAATTTGAAACACGAAATCATAAATTATAATTTAATAAATAATCATAAAAAATAATAATATAATAATAATAATTTAATTCAATAATATAATCAAACCAAAAACACTGAAATATGAAATATTGCGCCAAGTTCGCACATCGCTGAGCAAAGTCGCAGAATCGTTTTCAGTGTCTGATGAGGAATTTCCCCCACGAATAATTATCACTCAATTCTGCAAGTGGTTCTGATTTACTATCGCTGTTCTCTAGCCGGTCTAAAACCGCTTTTGACCTAAAGGGACGCTTTTTGGACGCCATGGACGTTTCTCAGTTTCCAGGCAGAAAGAACAGTAAAAATGCAGGCAGGGCGCCGGACAAAGCACTCGGGACAAAATGTATGTGAAATGGTTTGATCAGGGGCGGACTGACCATTTGGAAACTCGGGCACTGCCCGAGGGCTCGGGGTCAGTAGGGGGCCCCATGGGATGCACCTGGTACCTTTTTCATACGCTTTTTTGAGTTTAGGCAAGGACACAGGGGCCCCATGATCCCCTATTGTCCTGGGGCCCCATGAGTTGTCAGTCCGCCCCTGGGTTTGATACAGGAATGTTATACTATGTGCTTTTAGTGTATTTAGTGAATGCCACTTTTTGACATTTTTAAGTTTCCCGCCAGTTCTGTCCCCCGTACATCCTGACGCTCGCAGGGAACGGAACCCAGAAGACAGACGCCGGCATCGGCTGGAGGACATTGCCGGGGACACTGCAGGGGGGACATCGCGGGAGCGCAGGACAATGTAAGTACAGAAGAGATCCCGGAGCAACGCTGCAGTGTATTCCCGAGTGTAGCTCGGGGTTACCGCTTGTGGTGCTGAAACTTTACCCCGAGCTACACTCGGGAATACCGCCAGGGGGGTTAAATGTGTAGGAGCTGCCACTATTTATAGACCAAAAAACTTTTTGAAATAAAAAACACCAAATGAATAAAGTGTTAAAAGTGGTGCTAAATAAATATAAGTACAAAACCATATAATAAAAACACACAAATGCCCATAAAATTCAATAATAATAACACAAATATGTGAAAAGTCCGTGATTACTGTAAAAAATAATTACAAACTAAAAAAGTGATAGTCCATGAAAAAAGTGTGAAAAAGTAATCAAAAGGCCATAAAAATTAATCTTCTATTTCACCATGTGCAGCAAACTGACAACACAGTGCTCCATAGGATCATTGTAATTATTTTTTACAGTAATCACGGACTTTTCACATATTTGTAATTTTATTATTATTGAATTGTATGGCTATTTATGTGTTTTTATTATATGGTTTTGTGCTTATATGTATTTAGCGCCACTTTTAACGCTTTCAAATGAATGCCTGGAGAGATTTGACAAATGCTGTTCGAAATTAATTTAAAATTTAGTTGGTTTTTAACTTTTTGACATTGGATTTTGGTATGAATGGAATTCCCTGAACTGAACCCGCATTCAATGTTAGAAAAAAAAATTTGTTCAGACAAAAATTTCATTCTGCTCCTTTGAATCTCCTTGTCACTAAGGTCAAAGATATTGCTGATCTGACCCCACATCAAAAATTGAACAAACATTCTGAAAACTAAAGTTGTGAAACTAAATTCTTCTTTCAGACAGGTGGTAAATGCTTACAATCCATCAACATTCGGAGGAAGGATAACAGCGGCTGCCAGGCGTTCAGATGGCGTCACTTCCACCACCTGATTCCTGTTTTGTTTTTTTAAACTTTTTTCCAAAGTTAAGCAAAGTAAGTGTTACTAAACCCACAGCAGTACAATCAGTCTGTAGATGCAGTAAAGCATGCTTGTTATACTCACTGTGGAATCTAAGGGGTTAATCCTCTACACTGTGTAAAAAAGCTGGTTGATCCTGACTTCTCTGATCCTCCCCTTTTTCAACTGTCCCCAATCCATATGCTGATAGAACAGCAGAGGCCTAGGAGTCACTCTGCACATGTTCAGTTTGGTGTTTATTGCTAGAAAGTTTTTTTTTTTCTTTGGGAGGGGACATGTGATCAGCACAGGGCCAATCAGCACAGTGCGGACAGAGGGTCAGAGGTTATGCAGCCTCATAGGACAGTCAGAGACAGAATGAAAACTCCTCCTACAAGCTTTAATCAGTGCTCAGCTGGACACTGATAGAAGTCAAAAGACTGCTATATACTGCTGATGAGAAAAAGTATTTAGCAGTTTATATTTACTAAAATAATTGCATTTCCATGTTGTGTGTACTGTGGGAGACAAGATATAGTGAATGCAGTGAATGCAGGGTCCGGGGAGAGCGGATATAGTGAATGAATCCGGGGAGAGCGGATATAGTGAATGCAGGGTCCGGGGAGAGCGGATATAGTGAATGCAGGGTCCACGGATAAAGTGAATGCCGGGGAGAGCGGATATAGTGAATGCAGGGTCCGGGGAGAGAACGGATATAGTGAATGCAGGGTCCGGGGAGAGCGGATATAGTGAATGCAGGGTCCGTGGAGAGCAAATATAGTGAATGCAGGGTCCGGGGAGACCGGATATATGAATGCAGGGTCCGGGGAGACCGGATATAGTGAATGCAGGGTCCGGGGAGACCGGATATAGTGAATGCAGGATCCGGGGAGACCGATATAGTGAATGCAGGGTCCGGGGAGACCGGATATAGTGAATGCAGGGTCCGGGGAGACCGGATATAGTGAATGCAGGATTCGGGGAGACCGGATATAGTGAATGCAGGGTCCGGGGAGACCAGATATAATGAATGCAGGGTCCGGGGAGACCAGATATAGTGAATGCAGGGTCCGGGGAGACCCGATATAGTGAATGCAGGGTCCGGGGAGAGCGGATATAGTGAATGCAGTATCCGGGGTTTAGTAACACTTTATTAAGTTCTCATATTCAAACATTCACAAAGTACAAAAAGTACACTAGGTAAACAATGTACAGTTTGTGTACTTTGTGAGTGTGGGAATACAAGAACGGCCCTATATGAAATATGGTATGTATATATGCAGCATTTTCATTTTTGGCTACTGGGAGGCTGGTTGGATGTTTCTTAACTATTTCCCTACCAGGCCAGTTCTGACTTTTCTCTCCTACATGTAAAAATCCTCATTATTTTTTTTTGCTAGTAAAACTACTTAGAACCCCAAAACATTGTTTACAAAATTAAAAAAAAATTAAAAAAAAAGTTATAATCCTATACCCACAGTTGATCCAGAGGAAGGCAAAAAAACCCAGCAAAGCACGATCCAATTTGCTCCTGTGGGGGAAAAAAATTCCTTCCTGATCCCCCGAGAGGCAATCGGATATTCCCTGGATCAACTTTACCTATAAATGTTATATTCTGTGTATCCAAGAAAGAATCCAGGACTTTCCTACAGCAATCCACTGAGCTGGCCGCAACCAACTCTTGAGGGAGTCTATTCCACATTTTCACAGCTCTTCACTGTGAAGATACCTTGTCCTGTGTGATGACCTCAGGGTGAATAGCTCTACACCGAGTTCACTATATGAACCAATTGATGTATTTTATACATGGAGATCATATCCCCCCCCTATTATACATGTCCCCCCTTATGTATTATACATGGAGATCATATCCCCCCTTATATATTATACATGGAGATCATATCTCCCTCATGTATTATACATGGAGATCATATCCCCCTTATGTATTATACATGGAGATCATATCCCCCCTTATGTATTATACTTATGTATTATGGAGATCATATCCCCCCTTATGTATTATACATGGAGATCATATCCCCCCTTATGTATTATACATGGAGATCATATCCCCCCTTATGTATTATACATGGAGATCATATCCCCCCCTTATGTATTATACATGGAGATCATATCCCCCTTATGTATTATACATGGAGATCATATCCCCCCTTATGTATTATACATGGAGATCATATCCCCCCTTATGTATTATACATGGAGATCATACCCCCCTTATGTATTATACATGGAGATCATATCCTCCCTTATGTATTATACATGATGAGCATAGCCACCCTAAGGCCTCAGGCACACAGGGCAATTTTGAAGCTACTGTGTTTTTTTTTTTTTACTGCCTCTAAACTCCCCTGCATGTTCCCCTATGTGTCCATGCACATAAATGCTTTTAGCAGTGCTTTGTGGCAGGAAAAAAACCCTTACCGCCAGGGCGTCCTTAAGCAGTGGCATTTTGGCTGTAAAAACCCTTGACACATTTAAATGTGTGGAAATGCGCCTAAACAGACCTAATCGCACGCTTGAGTGTTAATTTATTTCAATGGCCAGAATAAAATATTTATTCTGGCCAATGAAATTAATTAACGCCCAAACGTTTGATGCAGGTAAATGTGTGTAAACGCAGTACACACTTTTGCAAGCGTCTAGCCTTCTTTTGGCCAAAACGATGCTGCCTTATGGGTGGTAAGATTAAACATCAGTGTACATGAGGCCTAAGACCGGAGGTGTCTGGTGACTGGGTAGACCATCAAGTGAAAAAAAAAAAAAGCTTAAAAAAGGTGAACAAATGCAGCCATCACATCTAAAGAATGCAGAGCTGTAAAAAAAAAAAAAATCAGTTTAAAGGCTTTTAATTTGTTTTTTCTTATATACACTTTAAATCGCTCAGTAACATCCCTGAGGCTCCTAACAGTCCTTCAGTGACAGGTTCTTCCCCCCCCCCCCCAGGGTCAGACTACAACATGTGACACCAGAAGACAATTAACCTACCAGTATGTTCTTCAACTGTTAGAACATCTAGAAACTCTGGGAAAAAAAAATGCATGTGTGTAAAAATGTTCCCAATAATAACAAAAAACTATCTATCTCTCTATCTATCTATCTATCTATCATCTATCTATCTATCTATCTATCTATCTATCATCTATCTATCTATCTATCTATCTATCTATCTATCTATCTATCATACCTATGTGTATTAATGCTCCCTCTAAAAAAATGTCTGTCTATCTATATACACAGTATATATAATTTATATAATACCTATAATTATGTAAAAATGCTATCTCAAAAAAAGTCCTATCTATCGATCTGGGTAGCAGTGAGCATAACATGATTTCATTTATTGTTAGCTGTAAACAACAAGCACATACGGGAAAAATAAAAAAAGCTCAATTTCAAGAGAGCTAATTTTCCAAGGCTGAGAGCTGCTCTCCAAGACTTAGACTGGGAGGGAATATTGACATCAATGAACACAACACAGAAATGGGAGTTCTTCAAAAAGTCTGTATGTGAACACACTGCAAAATATATTCCCATGGGCAACAAGTTTAAAAGGCTAAAAATCAAACCTATGTGGCTTACGGCCGAAGTTAAAAAAAAGCTATAGATAATAAGAAAAGAGCTTTTATTAGATATAAAAATGAACGCTATCATCGTTTAATCATTACAAAGAATATAACAGAATATGTAAAAAGGCAATAAAGGCCGCAAAAATTGAAAATTAATGACAGATTGCAAAAGATAGCAGGACCAACCCCAAAATATTCTTCAAGTATATTAATAGTAGAAAGTTCCGGTCCGGTCATGTAGGCCCTTTACAGAATAATCTAGAGTGGGTGACTGGGGACAAAGAGAAGGCAAATTTATGAAATCCCTTCTTCAGCTCTTTGTATACAAAGGAGCATGAGGGAGCTCTTGTCCATAATGGGGGGTGGTACTGCCACAGCTCCAGATGATCCACATTGGCTGACAATTGATATGATCCAGAAATATTTAGACAGAATAAAGGTGAATAAAGCCCCTGGACCGGATGGCACACACCCACGGGGCCTTAAAGAATTGAGCTCTGTCATTTCAAAGCCATTTTCAAAGGAAAATGTGGGGCCAATATTTAAAAAGGGGTCAAAATCTTTACCAAGTAATTATAGACCTGTTAGTGTAACTTCTATAGTTGAGAAGATACTGGAGAGTTTAACCATTTCCATACCGGGCACTTTTACCCCTTCCTGCCCAGGCCATTTTTCAGGTTTCAGCGCTCTCACACTTTGAATGACAATTGCGCGGTCATACAACAATGTACCCAGACTAAAATTTTATCATTTTCTTCACACAACTAGAGCTTTCATTTGGTGGTATTTAATCACTGCCGGGGATATTATTTTTTGCTAAATTAGCAAAAAAGTCCAAACATTTTGAAAAAAAAAACATGTTTTCTTTGTTTCTGTAATAAACGTTTGCAAATAAATAATTGTTCTTCATAAATTTAGGCCGAGATGTATTCTGCTACATGTCTTTGGCTAAAATAACCCAAATTAGGATGTATTTTTTAGTTTGTAGGAAAGTTATAGAGTTCACAAACTATGAGATAGATCTGAATATTTATCAGTCCTGAAGTACTTACGGCCAATCTAATTTCTTGAGGTCCAAGAATGTCAGAACAGTACAGATATCCCCCAAATGTCAGAACAGTACAGATATCCCCCAAATGTCAGAACAGTACAGATATCCCCCAAATGTCAGAACAGTACAGATATCCCCCAAATGTCAGAACAGTGCAGATATCCCTCAAATGTCAGAACAGTACAGATATCCCCCAAATGTCAGAACAGCACAGATATCCCTCAAATGTCAGAACAGTACAGATATCCCCCAAATGTCAGGACAGGACAGATACCCCCCAAATGTCAGAACAGTACAGATATCCCCCAAATGTCAGAACAGTACAGATACCCCCCAAATGTCAGGACAGGACAGATACCCCCAAATGTCAGGACAGATACCCCCCAAATGTCAGGACAGTACAGATACCCCCCAAATGTCAGAACAGTACAGATACCCCCCAAATGTCAGAACAGTACAGATATCCCCCAAATGTCAGAACAGTACAGATATCCCCCAAATGTAGGGACAGTACAGATATCCCCCAAATGTAGGGACAGTACAGATATCCCCCCAAATGTCAGGACAGTACAGATATCCCCCAAATGTCAGAACAGTACAGATATCCCCCAAATGTCAGAACAGTACAGATATCCCCCAAATGTCAGAACAGCACAGATATCCCTCAAATGTCAGAACAGCACAGATATCCCTCAAATGTCAGAACAGTACAGGTATCCCCCAAATGTCAGGACAGGACAGATACCCCCCCAAATGTCAGGACAGGACAGATACCCCCCAAATGTCAGGACAGGACAGATATCCCCCAAATGTCAGGACAGGACAGATATCCCCCAAATGTCAGAACAGGACAGATATCCCCCAAATGGCCCCTTTTTGCAAAGTAGACAGTCCGACGTACTTCATAAGAGGCATGGCGAGTTTTTTTGAAGTTGTATTTTTTTGTCATAATTTTTGGTAGAGCATAGTCACCCTTGGACAGCAGCATTATCAGTCTTGGGGGAAGGTAGTGTTAGATGGTCTAACAAATTTAGATGGACTTGAGAAAAAAATTATAAACAGCTACAGCAGTTTTTTTTGTTGTTTTTTCTTTTTAACCTTTTGGGATAAGGTTCTACATATATACATAAAATTGATTATTGTAAGCACCCCTGTCAGTGGTAAATGGTTTGTCCTAACACTCTAACAGCAACTTTTGCTAGACAGCTTGGTCTGCTAAATAAAAAAAGATTTACTGGTGGGATCAACAGGTAATTAAACAATGTTACAGGAAGTCTGATAAAAACAAAGACTT